AAATAAATATATATATATATATATATATTATTGTCCATTTCTGCTCAACTGCCTGAATATCTTACTCAGTTTCATGTAGTGATTTAATATTCTATCTATATGAAGTTCAGACAGACAGACCCCAGATAAGAACATCATTCACTTGTTTTCATGTGCTTCTGGGAGGCAGGACACCACATATCCCAGTGTTTTGCCCAATGAGACAGCTAAGAAAACAGGGCATGGTCATTTGGAGCACTACACACATTCCTCCTCATCTGCAAAGGTCATAAGGACATGGCCCACCAAACCACTGTGTGTGCAGGTACACAGAAAAAGCGAAATTTGCTGAAAACTTCAATCACACAAGTTTCTTGCTTGTTTTTGCAGGAGTAGGGATTGAAGCCAGAGCCTCGTGCACGCTAGACATGTACTCTAGTGCTGAGCTACATCCTCAGCCCTTTTTATTTTGAGGTAGGGTCTTGCTAAGTCCCTCAGGCTGACCTCAAACTCACGATCCTCCTGCCTCAGCCAAGCAAGTAGCTAAGATGATAGGCATATACCACTCTGACTGGCCAAAGTATTCTTCTGTCTCCTAAAGGGCATTAAAATCAAGGTCTTTTCCCCTCCTCCAAATTAAAGCTATCCTTCTGTGCACATCACCAAATCCTCAACACACACAGGTGCCTCTAAGCTCTCAGAACACGACACCTAGCTAGGAAATGCTGAGTTCCTTCCATGATCATCATGGCTTCCTAAATGTGTCCCTGGGCCCTGACACAACATGGCACAGATACACCTACCTATCAGTCTTCCCTCTGCTGATGAGGACAAAGATGAACAGAAACAGAGACCACTTTCATGTTAGCACAGCAGCATACCTTGGTCTTCCCTGTGACAACGCTTATAAAGTGCAAACTTGGCAGGGCTCTCCGTCACAAGAAATTTTTTGAGCAGGGCCTCGATGACTTCCCCAACAGTGTTTGTGCTGCTGATATGAAGTGTGTTCATACAGCCATTGCTACCAGGAGACATCTGTGGAGGTTTGCAGAGTTCCATCTGCACTTTAATGAAGCCAGTGTAAATCCCATTTGAATTCTGAAGAAGCAAAGAAAAGCCACTCTCAGCTAGTTGGCTAGGGGCATTTTAGGGAAGGGGGGCAACAAAGGCAAACAGGAAGTGAACCACTCTTTCTCTTTTCACTTAGAGCTTCACTGAAGATTGCCCTGAGGGAGAGAGGTTTGCAGTTCCATCTGCACTTTAATGAAGCCAGTGTAAATCCCATTTGAATTCTGAAGAAGCAAAGAAAAGCCACTCTCAGCTAGTTGGCTAGGGGCATTTTAGGGAAGGGGGGCAACAAAGGCAAACAGGAAGTGAACCACTCTTTCTCTTTTCACTTAGAGCTTCACTGAAGATTGCCCTGAGGGAGTGACCTTAAAGGGAAGTGAAGGTAGTGGTAAAGCACTTGGTGGGGGGTCGGGTCTGCAGGCAACTGAAGGCTCCTTCTGTCTTTAAGCACACTGTCCCAAGACTTGGGCCTGCATAGCTTGTAGGAAAAGTCAGCACCCCTGAGGTTACAGCCCTACTGGCCAAACTGCATGAAAGCTTAAGGGTATGTCTAGGCTCAGTGCTCAAAGAAAGAAACCAACATCCCCAACTGATAACTAGCTATACACAAAATAGGAAGGTTAAAAAAAAACAGGACAAAAATACCTCAGTCAACAAGTTGACACTAAGAAAACAGGGTGCTTTGATTCCTAGTGGCTATGAATACGAGAATCTAAATCCTGCTTAGACATTGTTATGTGTCATATTTATTACACAGCATGGGATGCACTGCAAGTATCCTAAGCAGTAATGTTTTCAAAATTATTGTTATTAGTACATATTTACCATCAAAGATCACATTTATCATGGGGAATTTGTACCTATACATAATATATAAGCAGCAATATTTTTTAAACAAATTCAAGTTACTATATGAACTATAGATATTACAAACACTTGTCTTAATTATGATAGAATTACCGCCCCCCTTTTTCTTTCTTTTATACTGCGGATTGAACTCAGGACCTTGCGCTTGCCAGGCAGGTGGCAGCACCACTGAGCTAAATCGCTGGCCCCAAATTACTATTTTTTGGTTGCCACAACAGTAATGATGCTCTTATTTTCACTTTATTTAGAAAAGAAATTATTAGCATGTTTTATTAAAATTAGCCATCAGGTATTGCCATATAAATATCAGTTCAAGTAAGGTTTTAAAAACTTCCTTTATGGCCAGGGATTTAGCTCAGTGGTTCTGCTACCTGCCTCACAAGCACAAGGACACAAGTTCAATCCCCGGTACCAAAAACTTCCTTTATGGTCCATTTTTCCCCCTTCCAAGTGATCAATTTCCAATATAAATTCCCATTTTCCTTCTTGTAATAGAGTAAATAATGTACAGCACTTAAAACTTTTCATCTTTAAAACAATATGGAAATTTTCTTCTGTTTTACTCTCCAAAGGGAAAGAAATAAAAAATTATGGCAAGTGGAGTTTTCCCCCATGGATGAAAAATGTTTTTGAAAAAGAAGCATCACTGTTGGAATAATGAAGGACACTCTTGGGACCATTTTATTCTCTCCTGCTTAGGCACTGTTCCACTGAGGAGACACCTTTGCCATAGGTGTTTGTATCTTCTATCTCATCCAGAAGGGTCCGATTCATCTGGGCCTACCCTAAACAGACCACCCTTGTCCTTTTCCAAGCTCTGTGAGTCCACAGGACCTGAGGTCCTAGAAAGGAGTACCAGGGGAAGGCAGAAGCTTTTGGAAGGACACCAAATGGGTGGACAACTGAGTGTGAGCCGATGTCAGTTCAGTTTCAAGTGTTGCTGTCAGCTTTTTTCCCTGTCACCAAGCACTGACACCCTACCGCTTCAAACAGTGCAGTACAGTGGTATGTAAATGCCTGTTACAACAATACGTGGGAAGCTGAAGATTATGTGCCTCATCTTACAGTGGTGACCAGTGTAATATAGTTCAACTATACTCCAATCCATGGGCATAAAATCATCCTGCTACTTCCACACTTACTTGGCACGAGAGATGGAACATTATCTGGGGTCTTGTCAGAATCTGGGTTGTCATGTATATGTTAGGAAATAATCCTTTAAAGAAGAAAGGTTGCAAAATTTCTAAAATAAAATTTTAATGTGTTTCATTTTTTAAAGCTTACCTAACAAGAAATTTCAAAGATATTTCAAAAGACAGATTTTACCTGAAAGCTGCAGAAATATTCTATTTTCCTGCTCTGCATTATCTTAGCCACTAAACTTCTGCAAATGTTATTCAGACACTGTAAAATATACAGATTATACCATTAACAACTTATATCCATCTTTTGATGAGTGTCAGCCTGAACAGTATTCCACAACTTCCATTTGTCTTTTGAAGGATGTCATCCTAAACAGTACTAAGGTACTTACCAGGGTCATCTTCAACTTGTCTGTGACAGCTAAATTGTATTTCTGAACTTTCTCTTTGATTTCCTCTTTGCTGAGGTAATTGTAAGTTTCCTTCTCTTTCTCTACATCCTAGAAGAAAAACAAATAGTGCCACGCATGAGCAATCAATCATAGGAAAAAAATGAAGGTAACCCAGGATTTTTACGTCCCACACCTAAGTAAGCAGATACACTTTACCTTGAAACACACACACACACACACACACACACACACACACACACCCCCACCACCAACACCACCACCTACAAACTTATAAGCTACAGCAAATTCCTCAGACTACAGTCTTCCTAAGGTATACATTAATTAAGACTAATTTGTCAGCAACCAAAAGCAATGGTTCACTAAGTATTATTGTGAGAAACTGTCATTACTAAATCTCCCTTCTGCAAAAAACATCCCTCCCCAGAATACCTCCTGGATTGGCCATTTCTACTTTAAACAACGAAAGGGGGCAGGGTCTTGCTACATAGTTCAGGTGATTCTCCTGCCTCAGGCTCCTGAGTGCTGAGTTTATAGATGTGTGCTACCATCCCTCACTTTACTTTGATCCATAAAGGTACATACCAAAAGCCTCTCTTTAGCAAATGCTATTAACATTATGGTATTTACAGCTTTCTAATATTTATCAGCAAAAAGTACAGTAATTAAAAAGTATTAATTGAGCAGCACTAATCACTGACCTCTTAAACTAAAAACAAGCACTAGAGGGTAATTTATCTTCCCTACCAATCCCTATGCCAAGACACAAGTAGCCAGACTTCCTCTACCCACCCATTCCTACCACTCCTCCAGTCTCATGCCACCTTGGCCTCCTCACACCCGGAAGGAAATTACTGGTTAAATTCTCTCATCACTATAAAGTTCTCCTTAAAATATTATTGTCTGAAGGAGAACCACGCCTGCTCCCGACCCAGCTGCCATCGCTCAAGCGCCGGGAAGGTAGGCCTGGCCCCGATCCACCGCGGGAAGGAGAACCACGCCTGCTCCCGACCCAGCCGCCATTGCTCAAGCGCAGGGAAGGTAGCCGCACGGGCGCCCCTGAACCCCCATAATCCCCGCCCCCATACTCTCAGACCTCCTGACTGACTGTGCAAGTCGTTGGACCCACTCTGCAAAGACAGAGGTGGTCATCAAGGGTATTTTTCTGAGTTCCCAACTTTTAACATCTTTAAAGAAAGGGCGTGGGAAACCTGTAATAGAAACGCTGCAGAGTTCAACCATTCAGAAGGACGGGAAACTCAATCTGGGCCTTGCAGACCGAGGTCAGTCAGCATCATGGGGTTTCGCAAGCAGGTAACTGAGATCAGGGGTCTTGCATCCTCGCTCTGTCTGAGGCATTAAATGGTAAATATACTATATTGAAAAGTTTGTTCACTGCAGACATGTTCTGGACTGCTTCTTGATTTCAATTTAATTCAAATGATTTAAGGGTGATAGACTAGTGACTACCACAGGTGGTCAGTGTCCAAGTTGTGCTTGATCTTAATGTGTTGCTGATTGTATCAGTTGGGGTAAAGCATTGCCGTTGATTTGATGAGCTGTTTTCTCTGATGTTATGAAGATGAGAATGTCTGTGGGTCGTTAGAGACACAGAAGCTAGGGTGCAACTATATCAGGAAGATTTGGGTGATAATCCAGAGATTAAACCAAGGACAGTCCGACAACAAAAATTAAAATGAGAAAACACTTAAGCAAGACACAAGGACAGACTTCCAGTTCACCAATGGCAAACAGTAGGGCAAATGAGGATGAAAAGGCCGATAGTGAACCACCAGGACACCCTGAACTCAAAGCACAGGAAGTAACAAAACAGATCAATCAGGCTCTAGAAAAATTCAAAACAGAAATAATTTCCCAGATAACCATAGAGATAGTGAGCAAAATGGAAGTCGTGATTCGAGACTCTAGAGCAGAAACTGACAAAAAAATAGATGAGCTCAGGACCATGATAGAAGCCATGAAGGCCCAGCATAAGAAAGAAATGGAAAAAATAAACGCCCAACATAGGAAAGAAATGGAATCCATAAAACAGATTCAAACAGATATCCAGGAGATTAAACACTCTATTGAAAGTGTACGCAACAGAATAAAAGAATGCGAAGATAGGCTCTCAGATATAGAAGATAAGATTGCAGTCAGTGACCATGAAAAGAGAGGTCTCTTAAAAACAGTAAGAGATCATGAGAAATCGATCCAACAACTCCTAGATGATGCAAAGAAGAATAACATAAGACTGATAGGAATACATGAAGTAGCAGGAGAAAATACAAATGACTTAAAAAAGCTGTTTGCAGAATTAATGACAGAAAACTTCCCAAACAGAGGGGAAGAATTTGACATTCAGATAACTGAGGCATATAGGACCCCAACTAGCTACAATCAAAAAAAATCTACACCTAGACATATAATAATCAAGATCCCAGAAACCCAACAGAAGAACAAAATACTACAAGCAGTAAGAGAAAAGAAACAAATCACATACAAAGGAAAGCCCATCAGAATCACAGCAGACTTTTCAACACAAACCCTTGGGGCAAGGAGAGCCTGGAATGAGATATTTCAAGTACTAAAAGAGAACAACCTCCAACCTAGACTGATGTATCCAGCAAAACTCTCTTTCAAAATGGATGGGGAAATAAGACACTTCCACGACAAAGAACACCTGAGAAACTACATGAATACCAAACCAGCACTACAAGCAATTCTAAACAAGATCCTAGAAAAAGACAATGAAGGCAACAACACCATGAGGCCCAACAGAGCAAATCAAATAGGCAAGGCAAGAAATTAAAAGGAGAAGGTGAAAAAGTAAAAAGAGTCAACAAAAGGCCAATAACATGTCAATAATAAGTCAGTACATATCAGTTATAACCAGCAATGTCAATGGCCTCAACTCACCAATCAAGAGAAATAGACTGGCAAAATGGAATAAGAAGCAAAATCCAACAATATGTTGTATACAAGAAACACACCTAGTGCAAAAAGAAGCCCATAGACTGAAAGTGAAAAGATAGAAAACAATTCTCCATGTGACAGGAGCCCAGAAAAAAACAGGGGTAGCAATCTTATTTGCAGACAAAGTAAATTTCAAACCAAAACTGAATCTAGTATTATTGATGTAGGACAGTACTGTATCATACCTCTATGAATGTAAAATATCTAGTACCTGCTTTATGATACATAGTAGGGACCGTGCTTTATCAGAGCTACATTTAATGATATTACTCTAGAATGTTCTCTTTCCAGATGATGATTAAGAGGCTAATAGAAAAAATGGTGCCAGGTACCACAACAGCAACAGAACTTTGCTGTTGTCTGGATATTATTCTTTTCTTTTTTTTTTTTTTTTTAATGGAATGTGCTGAATGTCTATAATTTTGTTCAGATGACTGCAGAACCTGGAAAAGCTGTTGCTGCTATCGATGCATAACATACTATTATTAGTCCTTTTATATAAATATATATATATATATATATATATATATATATATATATATATATATATATATATATATATATATATATATATATATATATATATATATATATATATATATATATATATATATATATATATATATATATATATATATATATATATATATATATATATATATATATATATATATATATATATATATATATATATATATATATATATATATATATATATATATATATATATATATATATATATATATATATATATATATATATATATATATATATATATATATATATATATATATATATATATATATATATATATATATATATATATATATATATATATATATATATATATATATATATATATATATATATATATATATATATATATATATATATATATATATATATATATATATATACACACACACACACACACACACACACACACACACATATATAAATTGAATTTTGGGAAACTTTAACGGTGCTGCCAACTTTGGAAAAAGTCATCCCAATTTACTGTGTTGAGTTGGCATTGTACAGAAATGGACAACCATATTGGCCTAGAAATGTTAATTTATTTTTATTTTATTTTTTCCATGTGTAAAGGGGTAACACATCGTACTAAATATGTAAGGTCATATCTACGTAGGTGTGATTACAGAAACTAATAAAGTATTCTCTAAGTAATGAAAAAAAGAATAAGATAAGACTATAAGAGCGAGAAGCAATTTAAATATGTTCAGGGACCATTTTCCTCTCCAGAATTAAGGATTATTTTGATGTTACATCATTGCCTTTTCTCTTTTACTTTCCTTTTTAGTTTTATTTTAGGATTCCCTATTTTTAATGTTCATACAGAGATTTCTTTAACTGAAATACCGAATAGTTTCTTTGGTGTGGAAAACTATAATAGTACACAGGATCCTAATGAGATAATTAATAACGTGAAATAGGAAGTAAAGGGCTAAAGGTGTAGGGAAAGTGGGAAGGGTGGGGGAAAGGTAATAAGGGAGAGGAAAAAAATATGAGAAACTGAAAAAATGGAAATAAAGTGTTTGTAAATGGAGAGGGGAGGAGGGGGTGAAGGGAGGGCAGGGACAAGGGGGAAAATGAGAATCAAGACCTATTATGCAAAGGTACAGAATCCCAATGATGAATGTAATTGTATTGTATACCTAGATTGTACCAATAACCACAATAAAAAGAAAAAAAAATTATTGTCTAATGAGCTCAATAGTGCGTGGCATTATGAAGTAGATAAATGTGATCACAAATGGCCAAACTGCAGTATTTTGTGATGCCAACAGTCACATATACAAGGCACCAAACTTGTATCATTTAACTCTTCCAACAACCCAGAGTAGGCACTATTAATGAAATTTCCAAATGAGATCAAGTTAGGCAGTAAATTAACCTGCCAAAATAAACTTAACTGCTCAGTGGAAACGATGGAGCTTACCTGAAGTCTGAGCCCAAAGCCCAACTCTGGTGACTCCAACCATGTATGAAGACCTCTCAGCAACTCCACATGGTTGGACTCACTAAAGCCTCTCAAATGAGCTGATTAGCAGCCCCATGTCACAGAAAAGAACAGGAGATTTACAAGAGGTCAAAAAGCTTGTTAAAGACAACCCCACCAGCCACCGGACCATGCCTCATTTTGATCCATGTCCTCTATATTGTTTCTATTAAATTGAATAGGTCTCCAAGACTCTGGTGTGGGTAAACATTTGGGGTTCTTATTTGTTTTCTTCAGATAGGGTTCACTATATAACTAGACTGGCCTCAAACTCCTTGATCCTTTTGCTTCAGCCTCCTGCCCGCAGGGATAATAGTAATGTGCCACCCTGCCACCTGATGTGGGTAAACATTAAAGACTTAAAAGTCTGCATAATCAGATTCAAACCTATATAGCAACCTAGAAAAGAAGGACCTAAAAATGCTCCAGACTAAGGAAGAGCATAGGCCTTTTCCAGCCAGGCCCAGCACACTATCCTCACAGCTGGATATTCTCCAAGCAGGCATTTGTTCACATCTACTCGCTGTGAACTCCTGTTATAAATACACCAGGAATGGCCATTACAGAACTTGCAGGAATGCCATACAGAGTATGAAATGGCTCTTGAGGCACTCAAGTCTCA